GGAACTTTGCATTTAGTCTTCACATGTCTTCCCTGTCACCAATGGCAGTCGCTATTGTAATTTCTGATATTCAACTGGCCAATTTGTTGGCTTCTTGTATGTAATATTTTATTGGGCTACTTCAACTATGGTTGTTTTTATTTCTTCACATAGCTCATCTGGTTGTCTTTCTGTGATGTTGAACAGTTCAGATCTGTTCTTAACTTCAATTACATATGTTAGGGGAATCTTTTTGACATTAAAATTCTGAATCATGAGTGGTCGTTTGACTCCGTAGCACATGAACTTTACCTTGGCAGTTAACCATGGTCTGACTCACAATTTGCACCACGGAACATTTTCACAGTGAGGATGGAACTTTACACAGTGCAACCAGTAAACTCTTCTTTTGCTTGCTTGTTTTTACTGTAGCTTGAGAAGCCTCTCCCCAATCCTAATTTATTGTTGCTTATCTACACAATAGATTATTCTTCTGCTTGATTTACTAAAACTTCTAGAAGAACTAATACCACTGACTCTGTAAGAATTATAACAGATATGGTCTAGCCAAGGTAACTGAGTAGCAGTACATAATCACAGTCATACTTAATCATCCAATAACAATAATAACCCAGTACACAACAACATTCACTTGTGATGAAATTAACATGATGAAAGGGGGGGAAAACTGTGCCTTGTACATCTACAGGATGCATAGAACTATAATAGAGCCACATGAATGAGGTTGCCAAGCATCATAACCTCTGCCTGAAATGTATATCAAGTCCATGAAAGTTGACTTTAGAAGAGAAAGAGGCACCTGAGATCCCACTGTTAATATCTAATGGATAATGGAAAAGGTAAGGGAATTTCAAAAGGACATCTATTTCTGTTTCTTGATTAATCAATGTCTTTCAAATGGGTAAATCACAGCACATTAGATACATGACTATGCCAGGCTGAAGAATGCATATGAAGACAAGATAGTAATAGTTAAAATAAGACGTATAGCATATATATGGGAAATATACAGTATATGGGAAAAAGGGCCCCAATAACTATTTGCTGGATATATCATAAGAAAGGCTAAATTAGGCAAAATAGAAATTTTAACAATGGAATAAAGATCAGGAATATTAAATAAGAGATTGCATTTTAATGACCAGAAATGATAAAGATTTCACAAATGTCTTTTAAGCAACAATAAGAGAATGCAAAAGCAATCTGCTGCTTAGCATTTAAAAACTCAACGTCTAAGATTACACCAAAAGGCAATGCTAATCTACCGAAAATAGATGAAGAAAGTGATTATAGTTAAGATGTTTAACTTCCTAGGTTCACACATTCATGGACAGCCTTAAAATAAAGAAACATCTAAATCTAAACAACACACAGAGAGTATCACACTGACAACAAAGATATGAGGACAACTGTAAGGACAACAAATCATTCTATATAAGATAAAGTAAAACCAGACTACTTATTGGAAGCACTACCCGTATTTCCCCATGTATAAGCACCCCCTTTGTATAAGCCACCCCCCCCAATTTTTGGACTGTGAAGTTTTGAAAAAAATATTTTATTAGAGAAACAAGTTATGAAGAAAGAAAATTTACAAAGAAACAAAATTCGACGTCTACAACTTCGGTCATGACGCCGAAAGCGGTGCGGGCGACGCTAGCAATCTACGCATCGGAACGAGAGTAGGAACGAAGCATTCAGGCCGATGCCTAGCGTATGCATTTCTATCGCGTACTCGCACTCGTAATCGTATCATCACGTACAATTTTTACAAAAAAGTATAGCATACTGCTGGAAAACCAGTTTATTCCTACTTTATTATTTTATGCATTTTTCATGTATAAAAAGTGTACCTGCTTTGTATATGCCACCCCCCTACTTTTTGGGCTTGAAAATTTTGGAAAAAAGGGGTGGCTTATACATGGGGAAATACGGTAATAAAGCTTCAATATTTGGATATGTAATAAGAATGCAAAAGAAGAAAATCCTGATTCAAGGAAAAATCAAAGGCAATTAAAGAAAGATGCCAACAGAAGAGCAGGTGCAAAGATATTATCACAGATGACATGATCATTAGCTCAGGAGAACTCAAAGAAACAGTTTACTGACAGACAATGCTGGTAAATTGTCAATCAAGTCACAACAATCAGAAATAGCTGAACAATAACAAAAACAAAAGGAGGCTCTTTAATTGTTGCTGAACCATTGTCTTTGACCCTCACCATTTACAGACAAGTTGGAATGCAATAATATGTCAAGTACAACATTATTTCTTTACCACATGCAAGTGAACAAATCTACAGTTGAAACTGCATCAGCTCCTACAGATCATAAACTAACCCAGAAAATTAATAGAAAAATGAGCAATAAACCTAGTGTGAGTTTTACATTTTTATTTTAGGACAGAATCAGTATTACTCAATCAACTATCAATATAATCCGCAGTCAGATAAATAATTAGAAACAGGAACAGTCAAATCATTTTTGAGACTGTGCTCATCTGACAGTAAAACCCCACAAAGTATAAACAAGCTGTTTTTCTAAGTAGACACACATTGCATAGACTGAAAACCTACAATTCTAAGCAATCAATTGGCCTTATTTTCAAGTAAACATATATCCACCATGTAATTAGGATATTGAGTGTGACTGCCAGAACCTTCTTTCTCTGTTGAGGATAAAGTACTGTGAATGTACATATGGGTTGTGTTAGTCATGCAGAAGCTGTTAAAATGTTTCAGAGATAAATCTCAGGGATTATACATGGTCATTCAGTTATGAATATTCCTCAAAGGTCTCTGATGGCAGAACTTTAGAGCCTCTGCTAATCCTTTACAGATCTGACAAGTGTGCAACTGTGAAGGGCATGATGGCATATGATTAAGATCCACATTGCCGCATAAGCAGTATTAGTTATGCTTTAGCCTGCTGGATTATTATAACAGTTTGATCTTGTACATGTTGATGAGAGGGGGAGGGAAATTTGAAGGTTCACAGGATTGAAGAAATCTGTCAGGTTTACTTCCAAGTATGTGTATTTCAGAATCAGGCTAAACACACAAGTATTTATAGTTTGCATTGCTATCTAGAAGTCATAATTATATGGACCTGCAATATATTTAACTAGCTATCTTGCACCCTCATCATGTGTCTCCTTCAAAATAAGCCTACCTATGCTCTGAGATGATTGCTTCCAGTAAACGTTCAAAGAGCTGCACATTTAGAAATAAATTACCTCTACTTTGATGTCCCCTTCATAGATCCTGACCTTGTAGCGATCAAGGAGCTTCTACATCCTAATGACATTATGAGCTGTACCACTGGGAGTGTATATTTATAAAAGAATTCATGACCTGTCACAGACAGGAGATCAGACTGAACACAGTCCACTAGAAGTGTCAAACTTCAGAAGTCTATCAAGAAATCCAAATCCATTCACAATCAGCACAATGACAACATGATACTGAAAAATAAATCACATTCACCATCATCCCAGATTAGAAGATAATTAACAAGTTGTTGGGTGGAGAATAGAAGGCAAGTAGAAGTAGCACAAAGGCTTATGATGTGGCTGGATTAAAACACAAAATCCAACTGATTATAATGCCCAGAGGCAAAGAGAAATTAGGAGCTGCAAAAACTTTTTTTGCCATAAATATCAGATGAGAATAAAATCTTCTCTTGCAGATACGAAAGTCATATAAGTGGAATAGCATAATGTTTAACAAGAGTGCATCAAAATCTAAATACGATAAAACAATTTCAATTTGAATCCAAGTGAAGTCGCTCAGTCATACAGTATGGTGTTATTCCAACCAGAAATGCAGAAAAAGCAGAAGTTGAATAGTGCTATGGTAAATTGTAGCACCTAAATATGTCATACTAATTATGAGAAAGGAATGCTAAAGTTGGAAATAAATTAGCATCTGGAATATAGTAGTGGGAAATATATGTATGTATGTATGTGTATGTATATGTATAAAACAAAGAAGACAGAGAAATATTCTTCAACTTATTCCATGTGTGGACATAGGAAGGAAGGAGGGAGGGAGAAGGAAAGAAGGAAGGACTGATGACTTCAAATTTATGGCAGAATTCCATCTGATATTCAGAACAAATGTGTTACCTGCATCTATTTTATAATTAGTGAGTTCAGAAATTACACTAAGCCTGCGGTAAAATAATGCAGCATCTTTGAAGAATGCATCTTTGATGCAAACAAACCCAGCTTTGCCCTATTTTTAATGCATAATGTAATGATGGAAACTGATGAAATTCAGCCCAAATGTCATTTTGCAGCATAACATTGAAAGGTTTCCAGCCGCAGTCCAGGAATGAACCTGTCATAGCCGCTATTTTTCTTTATTGCACCTCAGTGATCTCGGTGGGACTTTTTCCGCCCAACTTTTTCTGCCCAATACATCAGTCCCTCAGCTTTCCCAAAGGGTTTGTGTATTTAAAATTCTTCTTCGATCCAGTACAAGCAGCCACTCCCGGGATCGTTTCTTCTTCCAGAACAAGGGTTTACATCCACGTGACACAGTGAGCCACCAACTGCTAGCCGCATTGGTAGCAATGGAACTGAAGGGAAGCAGGTGTGGTGAATCCAGTGTATTCTGTGAATGGAGAAAAATTGGGCCGCGTAAGCATGGTCCTAAGCCCTCTTGACCTCGGTACTTGCAAGCTCACGTTCAAACTAACACCACCAACCAGACTTTAGAAGCGACAGGGTTGCGCTCCACCGCCGCGCAGTCAGATACTCGGCGGCGCGCTCCCGTTCGGTGACTCAGCAGGCGGACCGAAATCGCTGCCTCGGAGATGAGCAGCAAATAAATATATGGCACCCCACCCAAAGCGAGGCGAGGCCGCTAAGTAGAGATATGCCTTTAGTTTCCATGACTGCACGTGTATAGAGACGCTCAGCAAACCGCGCGAGGCCTCAAGGAAGGCCGGATTTTCCCAAGACGCGGGGCGGGCTTTGGAGACGTGGCAGCGGAAGGCGGAGTGGGCCCGGAGGAGGCACTATGGCAGGGGGTTGGGCCGGATTCTCGGAGCAGGAGCTTCGGCAGCTTCAGGGCCATCGCAAAGGTAATCCCAGCGAGGAAAGATGTTAGCAGCAGCACTCGTGGAAGCGAAGAGCGGCGTGGGCTGCTGGGATTGGCGGAGACCGGAGCGGCTGGAATTCCACGATTCCAAAGCAGCTCAACGGTTCCTCTCCTCTGACGTCATCTCCCCGGGGTGGGGGTGGGGGGCACGCGCGAGGCGCATAGGCTAGGGTGGTCTGCCAGAATGGGAATAAGACCCCCTTAATTTCGGAGGAGCTTTCTCTAAGGAAATGCGTCGGGCGTTATGTAGAGAAAGCAAGGATGAGCTAGGAGGTCTCTGGATTTATCTGCCGCAGGGGAACAGGCATTATTTACAAAATTTCGGATTAGGACAAGATTATTGCGCCCACCCCCCCCGCTTTTAATGAATGTAAAAGTAGATCGTTGCAAGATTCAGCCCAAACCGAGAGTCGGGTTGGTTAAGATACAGCACTAGAAACTAAGACCATAAATGCTAGCCCTCCTTTAGGCACAGGAGCTGGGTTCCTTCGGGTCGATTGTACTCTCAGCCCAGCTCATTTACTTTCTGAGTTGTTGTAGAGAAAATAGGAGAGTGTACACTGTTTATGTTGCTTTGACTTATTCAGAATAAAGATGGGATATAGTTAATAAACTATGACAGTTAACTATGGGATAGTTAATAAATAAATGCCATAATATAGGGAGAACTATTCTCTTCTGTAGTTTGTAACGCTTTATACAGTACAAGGAAACAGGTACCTCAGAATATTAACTTTCCCTTACTAGATCCTCAAAATTCTCAGAGGGGGAAGAGGTTTATGAATGAGAATGAGCTTCAAAGAAAGTGCCTTGGCAGAGTAGAATTGGGCTCTTAGCAACTATTTACCCAAGGCCTAAATAATCTCCCAGACCAAACCCTATTTAAGAAACCAGAGTTTGAGAGTCTCTGGGACCTTGCAGACTTTTCCATCATCTGCCAATTTTCCTACAAAAACAAAGAATATAATGAATCTTCTTTCCCAAAGGAAAGTGGTAAGGACAGATAACTTGTTAGAGTCTACATGGGTTTTGACTCCAGCTTACATCAGTCTGAATTTCTGTGGCTAATATTCAGGGAAAATTACTGGTATTGTTATTTGGGCAGAGGTGGGGAGTAAAGATGCAAAGGACAAATCCTTGATTCATGTTCTTTATTGACATTAATTTAAAAAGAAAAACTGTTGTCATGAAAAAAAAGACTTGATTCCAAAATTAGTGCTGGTCTGCAAATCTCAGTTCTTTTGAATAAAAATGGAAAAGTTCTGCCATTGTATATCAATATCCTCTTCTCGTAGATATATGAAAGTATGGCAACAAGGAACTGATGGGCTTAAAGAAAGTTTACCATATATTGCAAATTAGGTCTATGTACTACTTGTAATGTTAGCAGGAGCTGTAGAAATGTGTTTCTTAGTAGTTTGGGCCAATAGTTTGTTTATAATTTTTAAATATCAATTAATACCATGCCAACTTAAAATACTTTAAATAGTTTTTATGCGGGCTAAACTCAGGACTTATGATCTCACATACATTTCTTTGTCAGAAGTGATTTTTTTTCAGCTGTGTAAAACTAACATCTACCTGTTTGTGCTATTTTGATCTGTCAGGACCCCTGTCCAAACAACAGAATCAAGGGACTTCAGTAAACAAAAGCCGCCAATGTCTGCAGCAGAAAAAGGTGCCTCAGAAGATAGAAGAAAAATTGGAACTTCCAGATGGAGCAGCATTGTCACCTCTGGAGAAGGTTGAGCAACAGGAGGCCAGAAGTCAAGAGGTGGAAGTTGGACTTAAACAGTCTTGTAATAGTGACCCAACTGCAGCAACAAGTTGTCCACTTGTGAAAAAGAAAATGGAATTGTTAGTAAGTCTGTGATAACATTGCAAGAATTTTACCATCCCTGATAATTTAATTGGAGATTTTTTATAGTAAACTGACATGCACATATTTTTCAGTGGTTTTAGGGTATTAGGTAACAAGAACTTTCTAAACTTTCTCTTTTTGTTTTGGAATGTTTTGTCTAGTGTACTACACCTGAGGAATTCTATGTTTTCTATAATGTCAGGCCACCTCCCTCTGTAGAATCATCATTAACTAGTCGATACTTTGTCAACTAGGAATAATTATTCTGTGATTGCTGTATGTGACCTTTCCTGAGGTTTTAGTTTGACCTTCAAAGGCTCCTCCTCATTTGCAGAGAGGGCATACCTATAGAAGTCAAAGGAAATCATATTCAGAAGTATCACGCTATGTGCTACTTCTATTTAAGATTACTCTGGGGGCCCTAATCTGTGTAATTTATAGATTTTCTGTCTTTTGGATCTTGTAACACTTGTCCTTTCTCACATCCATACTATTTGATCATGTAGCCTTCTTGAGGAATGCAGGAACTTTTAGGGAGGATAACTAAGATCTGAAGTATATCTAAGAGACCTGACTTTGAATCCAGGCTTAGCATTGGAAAATTTCTTGGGATTTTTCAAATGTTGAAAAAAATGTTAGATATATCAACAATTATTTATTACAAAGACTAGTTTAAGAAATTTGCTGTATTTTGCCCAAGTTTCTTATGAGATGAGTGGCCATATAAATAAAGAGACAAAAAGGAATAGAATTATTTATTGATTCTTTTATTTTGTTATTGTTCAGGCAGGAGAAGTCTCGGTGGGAAATCCTTCAACAAGAGCAGAAACTGATGGAAGAAAAAAATAAACGCAAAAAGGCTTTCCTTGCTAAAGCAATTGCTGAAAGGTATGGGGTCTTATAGCTGGAAAAAAACAGTGCACATTTTGTGTTCTATATTAGTTAATCAAGTCCACTTCATTCTATTTTGCAGCCCTCCTTCTTTAAATATGATAGAAATTAAAGTCTTGTCAAGGTTTTATTTAAATAGTCTTAATTTTAAGTTTCTATGTAACTATTTTTTTAAAGTTAGCTGCCTGAATACCGGCTGGGCCTTATTTTTTTTTGACCCCTGAAAAAACGGGTAGGCCGTCTTTTCGGTGGTGATTTAATTTCCTCCCCCACCTAGAGCAGCCCATACGCACGTACCTCGCTGCGAGACCGCTTCTATGGCCCGATGAAAGCTCCCCGAAGGCAGAGTCCCCAGCTGCTTCAGGGCGTGGCGTTGCTGCCCGTGTCCCCTCGCCTTTAGGCAGTCTCTTTCGGGCGATAGAAGCTCCCCAAATGCAGTCACCAGACACTTCGATCGGCCGGTAGAAGCGGCCTCAGGGCGAGTGCGCACACACACACACACACTCCCCTCGCCATGAGGCCGCTTCTATCGGCAGACGAAAGCTCCCTTGAAGGCAGAGTCCTCAGCTGCTTCAGGGCGAGGCGTGGCTGCCCATGTCCCCTTGTCTTTAGGCAGTCTCTTTCGGGTGATGGAAGCTCCCCAAATGCAGTCACCAGCTATTCAATCCGCCGGTAGAAGCGGCCTCGCAGCGAGGGCCACTGTGAGGCCGCTTCTACTGGCCGATTGAAGTAGCTGGTGACTGCATTTGGGGAGCTTCCATCGCCCGAAAGAGACTGCCCGAAAGGCGAGGGGACACGGGTAGCCATGCCATGCCCTGAAGCGGCTGGGGACTCTGCCTTCGGGGAGCTTCTATTGGCTATTGGGGTATTCTAGCCTAGGCTACCTGCAGGGTACTCCTAAAGGCAAGTTTTCTCCCCATCCCCCCCGCCCTTCCCCCGCCCATTTCTCTTCACCTCGTGTAGTTCTAACAAACGATGTGAGAAATGGCGGGGAAAAGCATGGTTTGAATAGGCCTAAATTTTAGGGGCGGGGCTTAATTTCACCTCATGCCTAGAAATCATGCTGGCCCTTCCTATTGGTGGAGGCCGTATTGTTGGAGAAACACGGTAGTTAGCTACATTCAAATAGTATGCAAATCAGATAAAGACACTTGAAAATATAATCCCATTAGTTTCATAAGGGTTCCTCAAACTGTTTTTGTTCATGTACCTTGAGACTTTTACCATGAGTCCTAACCACCATAGGCAGTGGCAAATGATGGCATGAGTTCTAATTCAGAACATCTAAAATGTAGCAGGTTTCCTTTCCCAAAGTTGTCCTTAGAAAATCCAGGTTGAAAATTGCTAGCTGCTTTTCTTCTTGCAAATGGATATGTGGCCTTGAATACATTTTGTTAAAAAAATTCTCTTGAGAATAATAGACATCCTTTCAGGAGAATGATGCAGCGTAAATGGAAGCTGGTGGGAATATGTAATGCTGTTCAGTGAGTGCTGGAATTGTGGTAGCATGATAAAGGCATTTAGTTTTCCAGTTTTGAGTTTCAGATGCTTGTAGTAAAACTTTTCTCATATTTTAAATTGATTTGTTAGAAGCAAGTATATGATTTGGCAGGAGATATGAAATTTATTAAACTGATGTCTATTTTAAGCACAATTTCTGGGAGCTTCTGGCGGTGATGCCTTAGTGAAAGGGTGAAGGGAGAGCGGTCTTCATCTCTGGATCCCATTTTTTTCACTTTTGGGGACCCTTCGGGGCGTGAGGAGCCTGGAGAGCCAAGCAGAGAAGAGGGGAAGCCTGGAAGACGGCAAGACAAAATGTGATCGCCAGCCAGCAAGAAGGGAAACCCCTGAAAATCCGAAGTGAAAGTGTCTGTCATTTTATTATGGCAGACCCGAGGCCATGGCTGAACCGTGAATGAGGAGGAAGTGAGAAGATTATCAACAGAAAGTGTCATTGAAGTTAAAATCCCAAAGTTACATCCGTGATGATTTGCCAAAAGTACATTTGAACTTGTTTCCGAGGAAAAAAGAGCTTCAATGAGGGGGGATAACCCCATAGTACAGGCGGCGAGACAGTAAGAAAGAGCTGTGATTCAGCACTTTTTACAAATGGAAAGAGACTGAAGGAGTGGGGGTATATGTTGGAAGTGAATAGTTCTAGGAAGCTGAAAGGTGGAGATTGAAATAAGACAAGAACTGGTGGGAGAAGAAGAAAATCCAGGGAAGCCAGAGGAGGAGGTGGCGAAAAGAAGGTGATAAGGGAGACACGCTTGACTTATCTCTGCTTCTTGGACGGAGGGCAATTACGAGACCCATGTGGCGAGCGGAGAAGGAGAAAGTGAAATCCGATCGGGATGTGAGAGCGATACGAAGGAAAGAAAAGAAAGTCTTGGAAGGAGGAGGTGAAGTGGAAGTGGAGAGACGTTGAAAGGATCAGAAGGAAAGTCGGGACGACAGAGGTGAGAAAGGCGAGGCATGGAGAAAGGAGTGACTGAGCAATTTTCAAGCGGAAGGAGATGGCAGGACATTAATGGGAGCGGAGAAGAAGACAATTTGGCAGAGAGTGGGCTGAAAGAGATGATGAAGGAGGATTGGAAAGAAATGGAGAAGGTACGAGTGGACTTATAAAGAGAGAGACTTGGAGGGAGTAGTAGAAAGACAAAGTGGAAGAGAGAAGAGAGTGGAAAACGGTTTGGACTGAGATGGTGAGATTGGAGAAAAAAGAAAAGGGAAACTTTGAGTGAAGTGTATGAACTGTAAACTTTAAAGAGAACAAAATAGGCCGGTATTGAAATATAAGTTTGATTTATATAATTAACATGATCTGTATGACCTGTATGATTTGAATGTATTTGTCTATTAGAGCACTGTCTTAAGGTGATTGTGGGTATAAGAAATCAAAAAGGAGGCTTTTTCCTTCTTTAGTTTGAAATAACTTTGATGGTATAGTTATCTTGACTAAATACTGATTATTAGTGATAAATAATCTTAGAGTAGGATATTAAGAGTTTAAGAAGAATATATATTGTTGTGAGTATAGAGGACCTAAACCTTGACCCCTCTTTTATTGTATAATGGAGAAACTACAATACATTATGTATAGAAAGAAATAGAAAAGGGGTGCTTGAGTAAGATATATAGAGATACATGCAGATATAGATCTTTCAATTGACAAATACCTGGCTACTGGATTATTGCTCTAAGTTAAAAGTGAATTAAGAAACTAAAGTGGTGGGGGGGGGGCTTTTTTGTCTTTCCTTCTCTATTGGGGTGATATTTGAGGTTATAATTACTTTGATTAAGTATTGTGTATTGAATTAAGGAAATTAGTGATAAATAAGTTTTGATTACAGTATTAAGAGAAGTGTATAGGTGATTATATGTAAACAGAAATTAGATTCTCCCTTTTATTATAGATAAAAGGAAAAAAGAATAAATTTAATACTTTGTGCACAAGGAAAGGCAGGAGGGCTTTGTCCAAGTAGGATATTGTTAGATATATGATGATATTGACTTTGAGATAGAGAAAGGGATAATAAGTGGTGCTAATTCTATATAATTAGATTAAAGAGATTTGAAAAGAACAAATTGAAAGTAAGAGATTAGTTTAAAATATATTGTAAAGGAGATAATAAAATAAGTAGAAATAAATAGAGCTTGAAAATAAGACAAGTGCCATGACATCAGCCTGGAGAACAGCAAAGAAGACAACATCCAGTCCAACATTGATAATTACATCACCGGCAGGTCAAAAGGTGATTGAGAGGATGTCAGGGGCAGAAAAACAAACAGTGGCCAATATGCAAACAATACAGGCTTCGTTAATGACCATTCAAGAAACTATGCTTAAAATGCAAGAACAGAAACACAAGAGAATATTTCGCAAAATCATATGGAATTGAAAGGCAATATTAATAAATTAGAGGACAAAGTTGATACTATAAGGCAAACAGTGCAAAAGAATGAGCAGAAACTAGAAGAGGTGGAACTTAGAACAGTACACAATGAAAAGAAACTGGAACTAATGGACAACAGGATGATGACAATAAATAAAAGATTAGAAGAACAGATTATCCACCTAGAGATGGACCATGCTGCCTATTACTTGAGGGTCAAAACATCATTGAAAGGAGATGAAAATCTGAATGTGCTTATGGCAGAATTATTTGCACCAGCTTTACAAGGGGAGACCCGAGAGATCCTACTAGAAATCAACGAGGCCTATAAAGTTCAAATGAGTTACGCTCGATGTAACAGGTTACCCAGGGAAGTCCACATGCGATTTGCCAGGAAACAAGTACGTGACATAATATACAAGATAACGCGAGACGAACCATTCATTTATAAAGATAAAGAAGTGTAAACTCTGAAACAGGTTCCCAAGAAGGTGCACGAACAGAGAAAAGACTCTTAAGTTTTTGGCAATACAACTCACCCAGAAGAACATAATGTTTCAATGGTTAATTCCAGAAGGCTTGTTGGTAACATGGCAGGAAAAGAGGATCAGGATAGATAACTTAGACAAGGCGCAAGATTTCTATAAGTAGATTGGAGGAACAGAAGAAGAAAGCAGCGGTAGAGAGGAGCTAGAGACAGAAAGCCAAGAAGAAGAAGAACAGCAAGATATAGGAGGCCGAGAACAAGAAGAAGAGGAGGAAAAGATTAAGAACACACCCGCAAAGAGAGACTAGAATTAATAGAAGACAGATAATATCCCACAAGTAGAAAGACAGAAACAGAAATGAAGCTATTATCGTTAAATGGTCTAAATGCTGGACTTCCGGTTTGTCGGCTTCGGTGACAGCAGGGATTCGCTTTCTCTGCGATCCCTGCTGTGCTAGCTGCCTTGGTGCCTCCGATCCTGACGGATTTGGAGGCTAAGGCTGCCCTGTTGGGGCAGCTGAAGAAAGGGGGGATCCGGACGGGGGTGAGGGGCGTCGCAACCCCCCCCCCAGCCGGCAATAACCCCCTTCTCTCAAGACGGTGCAGCGGTGGTCTTTTATGGCCGCCATAAAGAAGCCGGCAACTGGATAAAGAATGCGCAGGAGGGAGAAGGAGTTTTTTTTTTTTAAAGAAAGTTTTTTCTTGGTCGAACTGGGACCTTAAGGACATATTTAACACCTGGGAAAGTAATGACTTGGAAGCTATAATGTTCCCGATTGATGTTTTCAGCTGCGAAGAAAAGTGACGAAAAGGGGAAGTCACTCTCCCTCCCTTATGGAATTAACAAATGGACAAGGGAAACCAGCCTTTTGATAGAAGGTAAAACCTAAACTCCTTTGTTATAAGTGGGAAGGGAGAGGCTTGGGAAAACAAATCTTTACCCTAAGACTTTGCTGGAGGAGATGCCTTGAAGATAAAGAGAATAGAAATTAATTCTAAGAAAGATTTAAAGCGCAGATTGGACGTTTCTGCTTTCCCTAATTTGACTTCACTCCTAGAAGAGAAACTGTAAAAAGAAGAAGCTTGCACTCTGCCTGGACTGTTTGATGACTGTGGGATTTTGGGACTTTTGGGAACTGTTTTAAGTTTGGAAATAATTGACTGGCTTAATAATAATAAGAGGATACAGAAAGAGAAGAAGAAACAGTTCAAAATGGCTCTATCTCTTGATGAATTAAAAAAACAATATTTAAAAATAAAGAAAGAAGGCAAAGATGTTATGGGAGAAGCCCTTTGTTTTCTAGATATGGCGCTTGTCATGTGTCAGCAAATTAAACAACAGCTGGAAGAAGCCGAGGAAGAAGAAGCCATTTTTAATGAACTAAACGGTGTGACTAAGAAAGAAAGGAGAAAGAGAGGAGTGAAAAGGAAGGACTTAAGAAATAAAAAAATGTTTATGAAAGAGAAAAAGAAGATGCAAAAACAACAGAATGCTAGAAAGCAAAAGGAAAGAGGAATGCAACAGAAAGGGGAAATTAAGAAGGCAGAGGTTTGGAGAGGAGGGAGTAAAAAGTTTAGGCAGGCTAAGAAGGAAAGGGAAAAGGGGGAAAAAGTTACAAAGGTATAAGACAAGATGGAGAAAAGGAAATTTTTTTTAGGGATAATGGGTAATATATGGGATTTTTTTTTTAAAAAAAGGGGGGATTCTGCAAAGTACACATGAGTATTGTAATAGTGGTATTTGTATTATAAGTAGATAATCAGAACTTTTTAAGATCTAATAAAAGAAATGGTCTAAATGCTCTAAACTCACCCATTAAAAGGAAACAGATACTATCTAGATTAGACAAACAGAAATTAGAAATAGTATGCCTGCAAGAAGTCCATATTAAAAAATAATTTTGGAAATGTTTAGAATATCCTAAATTAGGTTATTTGTAGCCCTGGCATATCAAAAACAGAAAGGGATAGCGGTATATGTTAAAAAAGAAATTAAGGCAGTAGAAAAATACGTAGACCCACAAGGGAGAATTTTGATATTTGAACTAGAATTAGGGTACAAGCCAATGTTATTAGTTACAGTTTATGCGCTAAATGACAACCAAAGTCAATAAAGATTTACATGAGAGAATCATTGAGATGGGACAAGATAATGTATGCATTGTGAAAGATCTTAATGCCATAGTAGATATAAGGAAGGATTATTTTAGTAATGCAAAGAACAAAAAGAAAAGGAAAATTTTGCCCAGATCTTTTTTCAATGTGACACAGGAACTAAATTTGATAGATCGATGGAGGATAATAAATTTGGGGAGAAAAGAATTCACGTTCTACTCTAACCCACACAAATCGTGGTCTAGATTAGACATGGCGTGGATGAATGCAGAACTAGGATACCAACTAGATTTGATAGAGATTATGACAAATGTATGATCATAACCCATTAAAAATAATTTGGAAAGGAAGGAAAAGGAAGAGTAGAAGGTGGATACTTAATCCCCAAATTTTAAAGGAGAAAGATTTTGTAGAGAAAATTAAGAAAGAAATGGAACTTTTTTTTTTTAAGGAAAATACAGTGGAGCAAATATCATTACGGAATATATGGAATACAGCAAAGGCAGTCTTGAAGGGGCTGGTAACAGCATATACAGCGAAAAGGAATAAGGAAAGATGGCAAAATCAGAATAAATTACAGGAGGAGGTTAAAGACCTAGAAAATAGATTACAAAAAAAAAACACAGGATGAAAAAATGAGGAGAGAGATGATTCTCACTAGGCATAAATTGAACATTATAAATCAGGAAGAGAGCGTTAAAGAGGTGAAAAGGGCAAAACAGATTTTTTTTGAACATGCAAATAAACCAGGGAGGTGGTTAGCCCATAAATTAAGATTAGAAAAAGAAAGAAGGTTGATACAAGAATTGAAGGATGATGATGGAAAATTAGAATATTGAATGACTGAGAAAAAGAAAATAGTACAAAAATATTTCAAACAACTATATAGGGAGGATGGAACAATATTTGAAAAGGAAAGGTCTCCCAGAAATTAGAGAGGAACAGAGAGATATTAAATAAAGAAATAATAATCATGGAATTGAAAAGGGCGGTTGAAAGGCAGAAAAATAATAAGACGCCAGGGCCGGATGGTCTTCCAGCAGAACTATATAAGTGTATTTATGAATGTCTTGAACCAGTGATGTTAGATGTGTACAATGAGGTATTAGACTTTGCCAAATTACCCGATTCATGGAGAGAAGCGAATATCTCACTAATTTCTAAAGAAGATTTAGATCACAAACAGATTAAAAATTATAGACCAATCTCACTCCTGAACGCAGACTATAAAATATTCGCAACAATAATGTCGGAAAGGCTAAAAATTATATTAAATGAACTTATTCATATTGACCAGAACGGCTTTCTACCTTCTAGACAGATAAGGAACAATACAAGGATAGTATTAAATGTATTAGAATACTATGAGGCCTACCCGGGAAAGCAGGCAGCATTGATTTTCTTGGATGCTCAGAAGGCCTTCGACAGTCTCAGCTGGCAGTTCTTGATCCAACAGGTCGAAAACATGGGATTTGGACCTAAATTCAAGAAAATGATTGGCACAATTTATTCGAACCAAAAAGCTAGGGTAATTATAAATGTGGAGATTACTGAAAACTTTAAGATTATGAAAGGTGTTAGGCAGGGATGTCCAATGTCGCCTCTGCTTTTTATCTTGACCACCAAAGTGCTTTTAAATCAGATTAGACAAAGAAAGGAGATAATTGGACTGAAGAGCAAAAACGAAGAATATAAAGTACAGGCGTTTGCAGACGACTTAGTGTTTTTTGTGGAAGATCCAATGGAGTCAGGGACCTATCTAATTCAAGAATTAGAAGAATATGGGGTGGTAGCAGGACTAAAAATTAATAAAGATAAAACAAAAGTAATAACCAAAAACTTGATAGAAAGTCAAAAAAAAAAAAAGAATTGGAAAGGAAATTGGGATTACAATGTGTCAAAAAACTTAAATATCTAGGAATTTGGTTAACAGGAAGATGCTCTTCCATAAAAGAGGATAATTATATGAAATTACTTTTACAGATAAAGAAAGTCCTGGCCAATTGGGGAAAATTACAACTATCACTATTAGGCCGAATAGCAGCCATAAAAATGAACATACTACCTAAACTATTATACTATTTTCAAACAATACCTATAAAATTGGATAAGAAATTTTTTCAGTACTTAGATAGGACAGTAATGAAATTTATATGGATGGGGGGAAAAGCACGAATAAAATTGAAAACGTTACAAGATAGTAGAACCAGAGGCGGCCTTGGACTCCCAAAATGGAAAACATATTATCAAGCAACCAATTTTACTATGGGTTAAGGAGTGGATAAACTTAAAAAATAAAAGAATGCTGCAAACAAAAGAAAGGAACATTTTTCCGTATGTGGTGGCAATGTATAGAGCTCAAAAAATACTGGAAGAAAATACAGAGATGGCTTTTTGAGATTACAAAATATAAATTGAAATTGGAACCTGAAATATTTTTATTAGGTATGATTAAAGGGAATTTGAGTAAAGATAAAAGATACCTTATTGTACACATCTTAACTGCAGCAAGAATCACGTTAGCACAAAATTGGAAGAGTGATAAAATACCACCAGATGAAGTTTTGATTCAAAAAATAATGGACTGTGCTGAACTAGATAAATTCACTAATGGAACTGAAAGGCAAAGAGGATCGAGAATACTATGCGACATGGGAGAGAGAAGAGGTGTGAATGGGTGAAGGATAAGGATAAAAATAATGTATAGTCACAAAATAAGAAACATGTATATACAATGACACAATAACTGTTAATGGAAATGAGATTTTTGTATTTTTTGTTTTTAAAGAATAAAAATTATAAAAAAAATAAGAACAATTTCTGTTTTTTAAAATGTTTTCCTATAGCTCAAGCTTTTATTAGGAAAAAAGAATAGAGTTTCTTGGGAATCTCTCTTCCCTCTCTGGAAATAGAGTCTGCTTTTATAATTTACTATAAAAGAACAAACAAAATTTTTGTCTGGCTTTATCAGGCAACCGTATCTTCTATTTAAAAGCATAGTTGTTTATAAGTACAGGTCAAATGCATTTATATGTTTCTTCCCCAGATCTAAAAGAACTCAGGCTGAAACAGTTAAATTAAAGCGTATTCAAAAGCAGCTCCAAGCTTTAGACGACATGGTATCTGCTGATATTGGGATCCTAAGAAATAGGATTGACCAGGCAAGCTTGGAATATTCATGTGCTCGGTAAGGAACTAAAAATTGAGGAATAATGTCAACTTATTACTATTTTTCTTCCTAATAGTAGTATTGTTTGATTTACTACTTTAAATTATAGTGTTTTCTTAACAAAAAAAATTATTTCATCAGCATCTGCTTTCATTATCTTCAAATTTATTTCTTGCTGTAATGCTTGTTAGCTTTGCCCTGTTGTTATATTTTGCTAATATACCCTGTGGGCACAAGCAATTCAAAAATATGACATAATGCATCACTGTCCAGTGAAAAGCTAAATAAAACTGAAGAAAGCTGTGTTGATCACAGGTCTAATTTCTTTGCATTATGGTTGAAATTGGGTCTTTTAAAGTTATTCAATAGATGTTGAAATAATTCAATTACTCTCTGATAATTGTAATACTGAAATATGACCACTTTCAAATATCTTTAGGTTTTTATGTCTTGATTTGTAATATGCAAACTGCCAATTTAAAAAATTGGCTTCCAGTAAGAGATACAGCAAGCAAACAAGAAATGGAGTATGCCAATTGCTGCAATACCAATGCAAAATTCTGCTCCTGGCAGCACTTTCTACCTCTCAGTAACCATTCAGGTTTTTATAACAGAGTGGCTTAAAGGATGTCAGACTTTTAAAAGTGCGAGTCTTCTACTGAAGCTCAATGGAAATCCCACTATCCCATCCCTGCTACTATTGGCCTTTCCTCTGTTAGCTTTGCTATTAATTTGATGCAAGCCTTTCTCTGACCTTGTTGGAATTATTCCTGCTAAAACACTGTAAAAGTAAACATAAATTATTTTTTTCAGAAAGCGTTATGATAAAGCAGAATCAGAATATGTGACTGCAAAGCTGGATCTCCAAAAGAAAACAGAAGTGAAAGAACAACTTGCAGAGCACTTGAGCACCATCATACAGCAAAATGAACTCCGAAAGGCAAAGAAATTGGAGGAGTTAATGAAAGAGCTGGAAGTAGAAGCTGATGAAGAGAACCTGGAACTGGAGGTAGAAGTAGAGCAAATGTTGCAACAGCAGGAAACAGAAGCTAGAAGGCAAGAGATTGAGACACAAAAGCTTGCCCAGGTTGATGTGCAGTGTACAGATTCCCAGACTTTGAGTAAAGGACATGAAAACGACAACTTTAGAAACATTAATGGAGCAGCTTAGAAGTTCCCATACAGATGACCAAAGTCACACAGTAAACTCTGTTTCTGAAAGAAATTATGATCCATCCAGAACATGTCTGATAACATTATTTTTGATATTTGGAGTAATAAGAAGCACTGGCATATAATGACAAGAAGCCTCTGAATTTGTGCAGTTTTCTAGTCTGTATTATTATCAGAGTACAAGTGTGCATGCATATGCGTGTGTATTATATGTACAAATTATCTCTTTTTCCTGCTTACTGTCTTCCTTTTCACTGAGAAACCTGCATGTGATCCCTTATGAAGGGGAAAGGATAATGTTACCTACATAATATTTAAAGTTCAAAGCATCATGTCAGTAGGAATAAGGAATTGTGTATATCTTACATGAAATTATCATTAAATCCTACATTATTTGCTTAGATACACTCTATTAAGTAACTCATTTTTCAGTGCTCATAAATGAATAGAAAAGGACAAGGTTGAGCAAATCAGGAGGAAATCTGAAAGTATTTTCTATTCTTGTTAGTGATTCTGTAAAAAAATGGTTGGGCCATAATTACCTAATTATTGAGCAATAAAAAGGGAAATACCTTCCAATATTTTAAATATATTATTATTGAAATATAAATAACCATTCAATAAATGGATATCAAAACACTTTTAAACTCATATCTGGACTCTCAAGATTCTCTAGTGATTTCATTATTTCACCTTTTTATTTCATTTGTTTTTGCAGGTTTCTCTACCATTCATGTATTGTTGAAGCGCTAATCCTTTGTTCTTGTATAATCAGCACATGCCAAATTTCAATAAAAATGTTCCCATTTTTTAAAATTGGATTTTTCTTGTATTGCCAACAATTATTGGACTTCAGAGTTACATCAAAGACTTTATCATGTGCACTAAAATGATTTCATAGAAAATTGTTAATATTCTTGTTCTTAAAAATGAAAATGTTGTGGTTAAGAATTGTGAAGGCAAGTACAGTATAGCTTTTTTTTGTATTACCTGTATCTCCCCTATGCCTAGCCATAGCCTAGCCGTAAAACAAATTAATTCATGTTAAGAGCCATTGCAGTTGTTACCGGTTTATTTCCAAAGTGAAAAAGTCACATAGACTAATTTGGTATTAGATGAATATTTAATAAGTCAAGCTTACTTATATGCTATAGTGTCATCAGAGAAATTAAACAAGGCAAGCTTTTTAGGGCGAAGGCAGTTAATGCTTTCGAGGACGAGAAAGATTATTTGAAAGCACATCACTTTTGACAAACTTCTTTCTTTTATTTGTACTATAGTAAACTATGAAAAGTAGTTGAATGTTCTTATTATGACCCAGAAAAAAGTGGCAGTGCCAAAGAGGAGTCACTCTGAGGTCGTACTAGGACCATTAAAAAAAAATCACACCATTGTGTCCACCAGCTTAACTTTTTGACCATATCTTGTGGACACCACTACACTGTCCTCTGTATTCAACTAGCATCCATAAAAAAAGGCCAATCTATTCCAATACCTTACTGATAGGCAGATTCAGCCATCAGCCATTTATCTTCTAGAAGTTCCAAAGTGTCCAGACCAATACCTAAGCAGAATCAGAGTAGATATGTTCAGGATTTACTTGATTATGGCACCCATAGAAGAAAAGGGAATAAATATAAGCACAAAAATAAATGAGCAATAATGTCTTTGCTAAGCCTTCCTCATTAAATCTGATGTAGCTCTAATTATATTAGTTTATATCGGATGGAGACTACAAGATTCAAATAACACCTACATGGTAGAAAAGTTATTTTTATATATTTAATTTATATACCCACCCATATGTGATGCAAAAAAAATCTAACACTATGTTGCCATCTAGTGATTATCTTACTTTTGCAGCCTGGATCTAGGAGCCCTAATTAATTTTAATGTTTGTAAGCCTCCCAGAGTTATCTCTAGGTGAGATGGGTGGCAAACAAGTCTAATAAATAAAAATTTGGAACAGAGTGCTTTAGAAACAAATCCTTTCCATTGAAAGAAAGTGTTTATTTTGAAGGCAAAGCAGCCCATGGGTATGACCAATTAAGACACCAGTAGAATCTTACAGAGAAAGGCCAATTTCTCTCGTTTTAATGCCCTAGGTAAAGGTTCCCCTCACACATACACGTGCTAGTCGTTTCCGGCTCTAAGGGGCGGTGCTAATCTACATTACAAAGCCGAAGAGCCAGCGTTGTCTGAAGACATCTCCGTGATCATGTGGCCGGCATGACTAAACTAGGCAAAGTCATATCCTGGCATCACCTGTGGCTTTTGTTAGGAATTTCAAAAGGGTACCCTCTTGTATCACATTTTCTTTAAATTTTTGGGCTTTACGCTCACGATTTTCAGCCTGGACATTTTATCTCAGACATTTTTATCCTATTTATACAATAAGTAATTTTAATTACATCACACCCATTGCTTGTGATATGGCAACAATTCTGCAAAATTTTATTAAACCCTTGAGCAGGCACACTGGCTCACACTTTTTTCACTTTCACATTTTTATTGTGTTTTCAGAAGGCTCTTTAATTTTTGTGTCCCCTTAGGCCTTAGATAGAGTCAACCCTACTTAACAATGACCCACCCAACTCCACTGTACTATCACAAAAACTTTTATGGACTGCAATCCATTCTCTCTCAGTCCACCCATCTTACAGAGTTGTTGCTGTGGAGAGAAATAATAGGGAGCACTAAAGATCCATTTTGTGAACTTCTATATGAAAAATGGGACATATCTCTCATAATCAAAGGAAGAAAGTTTCTTTATTTCATGTTATTTCAGACAGGTCAGAGATGCCAAAGAGAATCCTCAAATGACAGCCATCCCTTTCTGACTGCAGTGCCCTGGTGACTGACAAGGAATATGCTGAAAGGTAGTAAATTGGAGAGGGGAACCATCACTTTGCCAGTTATGACTGGAACCTCTGTAAACTAGAATAGCAATGACTTGAATCTGATAATATAAAGGCAGGAAAGTTAATGTTATTTTTTAAAAATAATTTAATTGATAATTTTAATTAAAATACTAAAAGACAATATAGACCCCCCAAAAAGGAAAGGAAAGAAAAGGGGTGCAAGAAAAAAATCTTAAACATCATGTTAACTCTAAGTAAATCCAATACACATTTTTCCAGTTCAGACAACAGCCAGCCTCCCCCCCTAAATAATGACATGTCACATTTTAACCCTGATCAAATAAAATAACTTTGTGTTCCTTATTTTTATATGAAACAATCTTGCTCTTTAATCCATTCAGATGATTGTTGATCCTTGTTTTGAATTTATTCAAAACTTTAAACATCCTGCTTTGTATGTCCAGCAAAAATAAGATATTCTAATTGCTTTCTGGGATTGTCATTTTTATTTCCTTCTTAACTTTTAAAGCCTCATCCATTTCTTAAATGTCTAATGACAAATTCATGTTCATCTTGTTCTCAGATAGACTTTGTTACTTATCTTTTTCTGCAACATCTTTGGGGAACAGACTGTTCCCAGACACAACACTGCTGACGTTACTGATTCAAAATCCTGATGCAGTTCCTCAAAAATGTCTCTAAATGCCATTATAAGTAGCTTGTCTTATTATTCATCCAATATTGAAAAGTTTTTCTTTCCCATGAAAGAAAAAAACATTTTATTTTTAAAAATTAAAGTCTTAATATTCAAAATCCAATTTCCCAACGTTTTTTTTTGAACTTTTAATATTTTTAAAAATTTCTATAGCCAAAACATTGTATTGCCTTTTGCTGTTTATTTTAAATTCTTAAAGGTACATCTTCATTTTTCTATAATAAGGATTAAAAGTACTCATCTGTTATTTTCAGCCTGGTCACTTTAAAGATGACCAATTCTAAATTCTTTCAAGTAATTAATGTGCAATTTGTGAAAGGCTTTAGCAAGGGTAGTGCAGTCTCCTCTTCAAAAGCAACCACATGGTGCACAGCTTCGACCATGTTGCATCTTTTTGTCCATAGTCAAAGGAGTGGTGGAGGATGCTGGAAGATGCAACTTCCAGTTTTCAGAATGATGAATTTACCCTCCTATTTATGATGCCATCTCTTGATGTACCTGGTCAATCTCAAATCTGTAATAAGCAAGGTGCTTTAGAAACAAATTGGAAAGAGGGCTGGAAGTTAGGTTTGTTTATCAGGATTTCTAGTTCAGTTTCAAGACAATACTTGTACAATTGTCATCCCACCCCAATATTCTGATTTTTTTGTTTGTTTGATATAGGACATTGAACATTGGATATATGGGAGCCTGACAAGCTAAGAAGCAATAATGAATCTATCATGCCCAACCACTCTTCTTCTCACTTTACTATATTTTCTATAGTAGTATCCCACCCCTGAAAGGACCTAATGGCAAAGACTGCAATGGCGACAACACCAAAGCAAACCTCTTTAACACATTCTTTGGCTCAGTATTTGTAAACAGCAATGGATCAAGCCCAGTACTTCCTAGTCAAACCACAGACAACTACAATGACCTAATACATATCAATTTTACAGAAGACATTTTTGAAAAAGCACTGCACAATCTAAAACCATCTCTATCTATTGGACCGGACGGAATATGTGCCTACTTCTTAAAAAAGCTACCCACTGCCATAGCCGAACCTCTAAGCATAATCTTTGAAAAATCTTTCAGGACCAGCTCCTTGCCAAAACTATGGTCACAAGCCATGGTCATCCCCATCTTCAAAAAGGGAGACCCCAGCCTAGTTGAAAATTACAGACCAATCTCCTTATGCTGTGTCACCTGTAAAGTCATGGAATCAATTATTAAACAATCCATTATCCTCCACTTAGAGACAAACAACCTACTCTCTAATAAACAATTTGGTTTCAGAAAAAAACTATCCTGTAATCTGCAACTCTTACACTGCAAAAACATATGGACTACACAACTCGATCAGGACAAAGCAATAGATACAATTTACATAGACTTCTGTAAAGCCTTTGATTTAGTGGTACACAACAAACTACTACTAAAACTACAATCTAATGATATCTCTGGACACCTGCATAACTGGATAGAAGCATTCCTGTCAAACAGACAACTAATGGTCAAAATTGGGAGCGTCCTAGCAAATTCTGTACCTGTCAACAGTGGTGTCCCCCAAGGCTGTGTTCTAGGACCAACTCTCTTAATCTTCTACATAAATGACCTCTGTGACCATATTAAGAGCAACTGCATTCTCTTCGCTGATGATGTAAAGATATTCAACACCACAGACAATACTGCTACCCTTCAAAAAGACTTTGACCATGTATCAGAATGGTCAATCAAATGGCAACTTCAAATCTCAACAAATAAATGCTCTGTGTTACACATTGGCAGAAAAAAATCAGAAAACAAAATACAAGCTAAATAGTCAAGACCTTGTTGAGGATCCAAACTTTGTCAAGGACCTTGGAGTACTCATCTCAAATGATCTAAGGGCTAAAGCCCACTGTAACTACCTAGCCAAAAAGGCATTAAGAGTTATTAATCTAATACTACGTAGCTTCTTCTTTGGTAATATCACACTACTAACTAGAGCATATAAAACATTTGCTAGACCTATATTTGAATACAGCTCATCAGTCTGGAACCCATATCATGTATCTGATATTAACACAATTGAAAAAGTCCAGAAATATTTCACAAGAAGAGTTCTCCGCTCCTCTACTCATTGCAGAATACCTTATGCCACCAGACTTGAAACTCTAGACCTAGAAAACCTAGAACTACACCGCCTCCGGTCCGATCTAAATATAGTATATAAAACCATACATTGCAATGTCCTATCTGCAAATGAATACTTCAGCTTCAATCATAACAATACAAGAGCACACAATAGATACAAACTCAAGGTTAACTGCATCAAACTTGACTGCAGAAAATACGACTTCAGCAACAGAGTGGTCAATGTCTGGAATACTCTACCTGACTCTGTGGTTTCTTTGCCAAACCCCCAAAACTATAATCTTAGACTGTCTACTATTGTCCTCACCTCCTTCCTAAGAGGCCTGTAGGGGGCGTGCATAAGCGCACCGATTG